GGCTGAGGTTACAAAATGAGCGACGCAAGCCAGCTGCGATGCTTGGACAGTGCCAATGCCAAGGAAAAACCATGTCCTGCCATGGCTGGGTCAAGTTCAATCTTTAAGGTCCTATTAGCCCAGCAAGAGAGCAGTTCAAAGCAAAGAGCAATTAGTAGGCAGGCAAAGGTCAAGAACACCCCAGGATTACCAACACAGAAAGGAGAGCAGGGTCTGAGGCAGAAGAAGAGTCGAGACAAGCAGTCCAAGACAAAATCATTCCAAGGAGCAGAGCCCAGCAAGCTTCCCAAGCTCAACACTTTTCAGCATTGGCCTTGAACCAAGGTCCCAAAGCACTGGAGCTGCTAGAGAGACATCGTTTCAGCAGCAATCAATTGCAACTGATATAGCCAGACCTTCCCAACCCCCCACCAAGGCTCAGCTGCAGATCATCAGGAGAACTTTATCCCAAGAAGGTTTTTGCTCAGGAGGGATCAAGCTTGGTGCTTCACCTCTTTGCAATAACCTGGGCACTGACCCTTTGGAGCTACTGTGCTTGAGCATCCAGAGGATACTCATTCTTGTCCTCTGACACCATGGGTGAGAAACAGTCCTGGAAGGTACGGGAAGGCAATTGGGGAATCCCTTAGAACCTACTCTAGTTGAAAGGCCCTGTGTCTTCTCTGTATCTTCTCTACTGATGTCCTGATTCTCACCGAAATCAAGGAGTCCTTGAGTGTTCCTACATTGTGCCAGGTAGAAGTACTTGTTTTGCACAGTGCTTGTATGCAGCTACCACACAGTCCTCTGGAAAGTCCTCCTCACTTACATAGAGGCCATCCAACCTCTGTTTATGGACCAATGAGGAAGAGACAAGTGACATAAACAGGGACTGATGTACCTCGGAACTGAGTTTCAGGCATAGTAGTTGATGGGATATGTGCCAACAGTGGAGGACTAAGTGGGGAGGATGGAAACCATGATAAGACAGAAACCACTGGGTTGTTTGTTGAGTAGATCATGACGAAAAACAACATGAACCATGGTGCCGTGCAAGTCTGCTTGTTGTGTGAACACAGCCAGTGTGATGTAATCAAAGAAACCAAGATTGATTTGATACCTGCCATAACCCCCAAGCAGACTTATCCAGCCAGTATTTTCAGAATTAACTATTGGCAATCCTGGTTGCGTTACTAAAGCAGCTAAAACTAGTCACAATGCGGTATGGCGGGAAGGTGTTGGTGGGGCAGGTTTGAGAAATTATCTTCTGATGCACGGCATGGAATCTCCTCATCTCCTTCATAATGTTTGATTGTGATATAGTAATATTTTCTTAGGCTGCAAGATTAGGAACTTGGCTGTATTTATTTGTTTTTCTCTTCCATGAGAAAGGATTATGAAAGGAACACAATATCCCCATTGTTGCTCAGGATAAACACTGACTTAGCAGTCTTCAAAGAACTATGAAAGAAACTGTTCGTTATTTCATTTAAACACAGCTCTCCCTTTGGCTGTTGGCCAAGGCTAATTAATAGATTTCCCACTGTGCTGTTTTCCACTATGGTTTACCTAGCAGCAGTCACTGCTGCTGGACCATTTCACTTCCTGCCATGCCCGGTCAGGATTACCAATCCAAGCGAGATTCTTAGCCTTAGATGGGAAAATATGCTAAGTTTATGGAGATTATCTGACATGCTTTATTTTAGCTGCTGTTCTTTGCTGAAGTGAGCACACCAGACCATGGGAGCCCACAGCTTCATGATACGGAATACTGCCTTAGCAGATGAGCAGCAGCAGCCAGTGCTCCAGTGTCACTCCAGGCTCAGGCAGAACTTTAAATGAACTGTCCATGGTGCTGAACCTATTTCCAGCCTCAGATGCTGCCTTTGTGGCCATGTAGCCAGCAAGGGAACTGGAGCAGTAAGGTGTCTTCTCAGTATTCCAGTGCCCAGGGGCCTGTGTCCCCTTTGGGCACTGCTGGGCTGGGGTCCTCCTGTGCACAGGGTCCCAGATGCACTCCTGACAGACTTGTCTCAGGGGCAGCTCCCCACGCCCATTAGAATGGAGAGGTGGTATTCCCTTGGCATTCCCTTGGGGGAATTATGCACTCAGGGTCAGAATTAAGGCAGGGGGTTTAAGCTTGCTTCTCATACCCCACTCTTGATGACCCCAGACAGTATAGATGCAACAACTGCACAACTCAATCCCTGCTTTGGTTTCCTGCCCTCCCTTCCCACCAAGGTGTGATACACAGTTAGAAACCCTTGTGCCACAGTAAAGTCCACACTGCCAAAATGTTCACAATATAACATACTGCCAAAAATAATTCCATCCAGGATCATTCCATTTTGCAGAATGTCTGCAATAGGCTAAACAGCATTCTAATGGCAATCACAAAGTCTGATGTTTGCTGTCTTTCATGAAACAAACAAAATGGCATTTTTAAGACAAAAAAATAAAAGCCATAAAAATGCTTGGAAGCCTAATTTCCCAGTAACTCAATATTCAGACTAGAAGAAATGGTTTAGCAGCTTGCAGTTTCCCAGCGATTGGCCAGTTCTAACAACAACCTGGTAAGCTAATAATGCTTACAAAGAAAGAGAGGAGGTGTTTAAACAATAATGTATTTTGAGAACAGACAGAAAATGGTCCTTTGCTGTCTTCCTATAGCATGTGTTGCCCAAAGCAGCAATGAACTGATGGTAAAATTATTAAAAAGTATGACAGCGCAAGGTCTCCTCCCCCACTTTCCAATGATCAGTGGGATCTTGGCAGTAACATATGTGAGGTTTTTCACTTCACTCTCTCATTCACCACTCACACCAAGAGGATCTTGAAGGCTCCTTTATTTGAAGAACCATCACAATAGATTAGGGAGGATACCAAAACTGTCAGATGTTTCAGGTGCTGTCAGAGATTATTATGATTCTCAAGAAGATGGGATTTATTAGGGTCTGTTTCTCAGAAACAATGCACTTGTTCTGCAATGCTGGCTTATTCTGGTCCTCAGAATCAGACAGACAGGCATCCCTTGGAGTTTCCACCCACTCCTCATTCACTGAAATAGACCAAGTTAGCTTTCCTGGCCCCCAGTACAAAGTAGCTCTAAGACTGGTAAACCTGTCCAGTCTGCATTCATCAAGAGCTATTTATTCTGGACCAGCTCATTCTAAACCAACAAGAGGCTAGGTAATCAGAGTTGATTTCTGTTGTCCCACTGGTTCCACCAGATTTCTGTTTCACTAAAGATTACCCCTCTTCCATGTAAAACATCTTCATCATGCCGTCTACTCAGGATGCTTTGCATTAATAGTGGTTAAGAGTGCTGAGCTGGGAGTCAAGATATCTGGGTTCTAGTCTCCACTCAACCATGGAGCTCAGTGAATGACTTTGGGCCAATCACAGACTCTTAGCCCAACCTAGCTCACAGGGTTCTTGTTGTGTGGATAAGATTGAAAGGAGAAGGAGAATTATGTAAGCTGCGTTAAGTTCCTTGTTCAGGGAAAAAGTGGGATATAAATATAATAATTAAATAGTCAAGACTAGAGATGCATGGATTTGGTTAATCCGTTCCATGTGTTTCACATACTATCAGGTACTTTTCAATCCATAATTTCATTGACAGAATTGGATGTTTTGCAGGAGAATTTTGTTCTAATTGCACTAATTTGCATGTGCACTGATGCACACCCACGCATACATGCACATTCTCAAATTAGATAATATGAATGTATGCAAATTTCTCCAGAAGGGGAACAAAGGGGAAAATCATATATTTGCACACATTTTCACACTTTAGCTTCTGGACAAAAACATACAATCCCCCCCCCCTTTTTTTTTTGGTATGACTCAATTTGCAGACAATTCTGGAAGATTTTAAAAAAACCAGACTGGAAGTCTATGGAATGCCTGCAGTTTGAAGAAAGCTGATTTGTCAGGAATCTGCAGGTTCATCCCTAGAAATCTGAACCCACTTGAAGCCATTGCGGATTTCTCTATTGTCCCTAGTTGAGACCCATTTAACAGTTGTCTGTGACCTCACCCCAGTCAAAGCCTTTGTAACTAGCTTTGAACAAATCCCATTAGCCCCCAACCACCTGAAATTATACATTAAAAAGCTCCCTCTTTTTAAAAGAACTTTTCAAGAGATGAAAAGCAGCAGGCATTGGGGAAAGAAATCTGAACATAAATTAGATTTCTGCTTCTTGACTGTGCTACCAAGAGCTAGGCATGTCTGCTTTGTGTGGAGAATTAGCAGGGGCAAGCCTTATTTCAAAGCAGTATAAAGTAAATTAACTAGAGATAAGGAAAAACTAATCTTGTACAGATATTGCACTCCCCCTAAGTCCAGAGAAAGAGAAACTCAGACCAGTCACCTTGACATGCCTGTCTTCTATATAACATGGTGTTTTGCACTAAGGATGATTTGCATTGATATCCTGCCCCTTCCACCTGCAGCCTGAACTGGGGCTGCCTCCTCTGCCTGTTGCACTTTGCCTGGATGGAACTTGGCTTTCCACAGAGATGGACAGCAGCTCTTGGACAACAATTCTTCACATTGCTTGTGTTTTAATGTGTGCTTATTACTGTGTGATCCACTTCAGCTTCAAGGGCGATCCTCTTGAAGCTGACAGGAATAAATATGAGATGGCATGCCCTGACATCCTTCAACTTTGCCCAACCAAGTGCACGTCAGATGTTTGAAGATCAGCTCCCATCAGCCCCAGTCAGCATAGCCAATTGCCAGAATTGGGAGTGGTAGTCCAAAGCATCTATGCAGTATTGAGAAAGGCTAGCTGGTTTCCAGCTAGCTTTTGCTGCCATGGTCATGGAGTCCATTGCATAATCATTTGATTCCAAAAACTGGAGGGACCCAACAGAAATTCTCCAGGCTCGAGTTGACTAGAAGGTCACCAAGTGCTGTTGGTGATTTTAAGGCAAAACCAGATGGGCCCATTGCACTCTACACAGCAGTAAGAAGTGACAGGACAGAAGGAAAAGATAAAAAGGATTACTCTTACCTCTCTCAGTGTCATAGAGGTATACGAACTTTTCCCAGTTGTAGTAAGTCAGAAGGGTTAGGATAGCTCCTTTCAGAGCTGGCCGCATCTGAATGACAAACTGCACATCTGCGTCTGTCGGGAAGCTGGGAGTGATGAAGGACGTGTGCAGTGCCCCGCAGAAGGACGTCAGCGTGTTCATTGACATCTGGTCATAGAATCCAAAGATGGCATAGACTCCCCTGGAAAACTGTGAACAGACTAAGACACAGAAGAAAGAGCAGTTAGAAATCAGGGATGGACAAGCACCAATGCTTCCCTGATTTGCAATGATAAACAACAAAAAACTGCTGTGGTGATTATCACACAAAAAAGCAAGTAGAAATCATCTTTCTCTGATAAGCCTCATCAGACGGACAAGCAGCAAAGATGAACAGTTTGTTTTTTAGCTAAATCAAACAGAAAATGGAATTTTAGAAACGAATGACCCATCGACTTGTTTTATTAACATTTTTAAAACTCAGGCTGCACACAGAATAATTATATTTTTGAACTCCCATGTCTGACATACTGTATTGTAGACACCCAGTTCTATGCATTAATTTTTGAAGAACCGAGTTTGAAAAAGACCATTTATAAATCTTCACGGGTTTTTGGAAACCAGCCATTTCCTAGTAATGATATATTTTACGGTGCAAGAGACATATAGAAATAATTGCATGAGATAGGGGCTACCTTCTTTGTAGTAAACAGATACTACTGCATTCCCAAATACCATTCCTAAAGCATTCATTACTTCCACAAATCATAATATTTAGAATCTCTAAAGCCTGCTAGGCGATTTTAGAGGGGAGGGGAGGAATTCTCCACAATAGCTCATTGACACTGTATCAGAAGTGTCATCTTAAATAGCTATTCTGGAGGAGGGAGGAAAATAAAACTCTTTCCAGCACCATCCACAGCAAAACAGAAACATAAGAACAACCAGTTTTAGCTGGAGAGCTTAAACACTGTGAATGGGTATAAAAGACACAGGGACAGTAAAATATTCAGAAAGGGGCAGATAAGACGGATAGTGAGTTGCTATCTACCTTCCTGATGCAAGGAATAAAGAGCATGCTGAGTTTAAATACCAAAGAAAAAAGTTAAGAGCAGCCTCAGCAGCAGAAAAGAAGATACCAAATCAACCATAAGGCTAACTCTGTTCCCTTAGCTCTCAAGTCTGAGAACTGTGTCAAGTCCTTTGCTACTTGCACATAAACACACATGCAAGCATGTCATTACTGCAAATAAAATGAAGCAACCCCCCTTCTCTCTCACACACACACACACACACACTCACATACTAGTAAACTACCTTACAGGCAAACTAGCAGTGGGAAAAGAAAATTGGGTGGCTAGGAAGGCCAACATCTATTTCTATGATGACTTGAAGGAGGGCCTGCAGCTTGGGGGTAGAAGGTGTATCTGGCATGCATCCGAGCAGCGGTGGCAGTGGCACATGCAGGAGCTGCTGTTTCCTCCTCCTCCTCCATATATCTCCTGCCTTTTTCCCTCTCTTGCAAGGAACTCCAGGTCTTCTCCTCTCCATTTTATCCTCACAATAGCCCTATAAGACAGGCGAACTCTGTGGCTGAGAGGGGACTAGAACTCAGCCCAGCACTCTTACCTCCTACACCACACGGCCATGTCCCAGACCAACACTGTAGCTACTGTGCTGCACCAGCAGTTTTAAAGTCGTTGAGTTCAGTGGTTTCACGTGTTGAATTATTGAACTGTATTGGTGCTGTGTGTGTTCTGAAGTTTTGCAAGCCACTTTGAGCACAGTATTTTCATTTTTATTTTATATTATATTATCCCTATACCACCCAATAGCTGAAGCTCTATGGGCAGTTTGTGACAGCATCGCAGAGGAAACCAGAACAACAACAAGAAGAATGATAAAGATCTCCTTAGACATCACACATCACATGACAATCAGTACAATAAAACCCTGAGACGATGATCTGGCGGCTGGAGCACCTTGATTCTCATTCTCACTCCACCATGAAGCTCACTAGTGACTTTGGACCAGTTGCTGATTCCGAACCTAATCTATCTTAATGGGGTTGTTGGCAGGATAAAAGAGAAAGAAGGAGGAGAGCTGCTTGCAAGTGGAAAAAATAATGTGAGATATAAATATAACAAAAATTATTACATTTGCATCCCATCTTTTTTTCCTTTCAAAAGAATTCAAGGTAGCTTACATAAGTCCTCTGTCCTCTGAATTTTATCCTCACAAGAACAATCCTGTGAGGTATGTTGGGCTGAGATCACGTGACAGGCCCAAAGTCACACAGTGAGCACCATGCTGAGTGAGGACTGGAAGCTGGATCTCCCAAGCTCCAGCCCAGTGCTCTTAACCATGACACCACACTGGCTCTGTCTATGTATGAACCAAAAAACGCCAGCACTGCGACCATAAACACAAACATACAAAACCGCACCAGCACTACTAAAACACAGTGGCACCTTCCATGCTTACATGGCAATTAAAAGGAACAGAGTTGACTCAAGATGGGTTTTATAAGAGATTATATAAAGGGCAATTTGCGATTTCTGCAGGGAACACATCTGTCTTCCCCAGAAAACCAGTTCTGATGTTCATTGGAATGAACATCTGCCAAAAAGAAGGAATGTTAGCTTTAGAATGGAAAGACTCTCTGGAAAGTCTGTAAGCTCTAAAGATAGCATATCCATAGGAATATTCCTGGAGTTGGGTTGCTGTTGCAGTATTGGATCTCACTTTTTACTCCTCTCCACATTGAATTCCCATCAATTTCATAGACTGTATTTCTTGCATGAGAAAAATCCAGGCTGACTTTCCACTTGGGTGCCCCATTCCTTCCTTCACATAATAGTTCAAAAAGAGGAAAAAAACCCCACAGGGTCAACCTGCTTCCAGTCTCCATTTGAACTCTGTTGCAGGCAGAGGGGGAAGCCATAAAAAGATTGTTAGCAAAGAAGTTTAGAGGGTCATGATGGAGGAAACAGGAATGAAGTATCTTATAAAGACTTATAAAGGCTTTGGTGGGTGCACCTCCTTCAAAATTACTGCTTCTTAGAAATGCTTTCCATTTTTATTCGCTTATGCTTAATTTCTATTTTAGAGTGTTATTAAAACCCAAATAGCACAAAACAAGGATGCCAATCATTTTTATGTTTGACTTTCTGGAGCAGGGATTTTCATAGCAGAACGTATGGTCCTTTTGCCAGTGCAGAGAAGGGCAATACACGGTTTGGCACACACAGAGGGAGGCCTTTAGCTAGTGGTGGGTTGAGAGGAGCTGAATTCCCTAAATTTCTTCTCTGCAAATTGTTTTACACAGATTATGTTAAGGTTTACATATCCTGGCCTTTGTGGTTTTCTTCCCTGCCTTTCTATCGCAATGCACCCTGTTCTCCTCCTCTCTGGTGTCTTTTCCAATGTCAAAGAAGCACGGAGTGCTTTCCACTGGCTCTTTCAGTATTAGTAGTCATGGGGAGGGATTGGGGTGAGATTTCTGACTCCTTCTTCCAAGGTCAGAGCATTCTTTTGATCTCTGAGTGGCTTTTCAAGCTCCCATAATGCCCCTGGGACTTGTCCAGGGACCACAGGTAGACCCTCTTTGATAACAAAGAAAACTGGACTCACCTGCCAGGGTCTTTGGCACATGAGTACAATGTTTATCTGGCAACATGCTCTTTTTTCATTTGACAGTATTTATCTGGGTTTGTTGTTGCTGTTTTTTATTCTTGGTGTAAGCTGCCTTGAGAATAGCAAGATATAATTATTTCCTATAAATTAATGTTCATTGCAAAACAGAACCGGAATGGCATAAAAGCAGAAGGCCAGCACTTAGTGGATCCCTTTGCAGTTGTATTCCTGAGTTCTGCTCACAGAGCCAACATTTATGTGTACTCTGAGACATGGATGCTGTCTTTAATCTAGCTGATTGGGAAGTTAAACATTATGCAGAAATTTTTTGGGGGGAAACTCATGCATGAAATTGGTACTTTAGTCTGCAACCTGTCAAATTTGAACAAAAGCTCTTCAAACTCTCTCTCTTCCCCAGTCCTTTCCTCCCTGACTGCTGAAGAATGTTTCATGCATTTTCAAATGAACATCTTTGTTTTGTTCTCTCAGGCTACTCTAGGTAATTAGGGGCTATCCTGCCCTCTGAAAAGAGGGATAAACTCTTTTCAAGACTGCAGTTTTAATTTATGTTCAAGTATTGCCAAAATGAATAGTGCTACTACTGTTTTTAAAACAAGACCTAAGAATAAACAAACATGGAATCTTAATAAAGGCTGCAGGAGCTTAATAAATGGATAAACTGACTATTGGTCTAGTTGTCCAGCATGAGGATCTGGGGACATGGTCTCAGCTGTGGGGCCCATGCTTTGCAGGCCAATGTTCCTGTTGCAGTTCTTGGCTTCTCCAGGTAGGGCACCCTTTGAGGGACATGTAACATCATAGCATTATGTAAGTGAGCCACAGCAAGTCTTGGGTTTGTACATTTCTCTACTCAGGCAAAGCTGGAAAGAATCCGAAAATCATGAACTTCAGATTCTTTTGTAGATTAAGACTATTTGGCTTAATTCTTTGGGTCAGTTGTTGTTGTGAGCATGAAATGAAGAAGGGAAGAACCTTGCAAGCCCCCTGGATATACAGAAAATCATCAGCAGCACCATCCTTGTCACTGAAGTCATCAGATGAGGTCTGTGATGGTTCTGCATAGACCTAGGACCTAATTGGATGCAGCTGCAGAACAGACTTCTGTGTAGTGGCCCCCTTTCTTCCTCAGGAGGGTAAGCAGGCACCAACCTTGTTTTGTTGCTGGTGCTTACTGGAGACATTTAATTCCCCAGCCGACTAGCCATTTTTATTGGTATCCTGCCCTTTCTGTTCTTTGTTTTCTAAAAACCCTTTAATGTTGTGTTTTATTCCTTTTAATGCTTATCGTTTTCCATGGCAGAATCTGTTTAGCTATGGGGTGGTAAGATAATACATGAATTAAACATTTTACCTGAGGATCTGATGTCTGCTCTGCAGTTTCCCCACCACACACTTGACTATTAATTTAGAAGCCCTAATGATGATTAATACTGCCAAATTTCAGCTAGGAAGACAAGCCAATCAAGGTCTAAGGGCACAATTCTATGCATGCAAAGGCAGAAAAAGCATCCTGCAATTCCCAGCACCGCAAAGCCAATCCTACAGCACTCGCCAGCCAGCACAT